CTGCGTTTGATAAATGATGAAGAAAAACAAATCACTCAGTACAGAAGTATTCGAAATTAGGGATTCGTTTAAATATTATTTCATGATAAATATTCATTTCTGGAATCAAAAAATTTCAAAAAACATAGATTTCTATAAATCATAAAAGCACTAGAGAATCTCATTTAGATCAGTCTTTCGTACTAGGCAACAATTATATTGTTAACAATTCAATGTGTAAGCTGAATAGTTACCAAATATACGAAATTTAACAAGTCATATACGGCACGGCATGAAAATAAGTAAATAAATAGAGATGTATGAATAAATAAAGACATATTTCCCAAATGAATGTGAGAGCCAACTGTGGAAATCGAGAGGAAATAGTATGTAGATAGAATGATTACAAACAGTTAGCATACCCAATAATTGATAACTCAAGTAATCAATAGATTTTCCATCATTTTTTTTTTTTTTTGCAAAATAACATCGATATCAATTTGCAGTGAAATTTTTTCCGGACAAGCTTCCAATAGAAAAAAAAAATCTCTTCCTATCAAAGTGCTCTCATTTCATTCACATATTTTATTGGTTGATTAGCAGAAAAAAAATATTACAGGTAAAAGCAAATTTTTTAAATGGCACCGGCACACAATCGACGTTAAGCATACAAAAGAATATGTAATGTCTTTTTTTTTTTGAGTATCTTTTCCTCTTTCTCTCTTTTTTTTTTTCGTTCGGCATTGGAAGAAATAAAGTCCGATGCCTTATGAAGCAAAAAGAAAAAGAAGAAATAAGGAGAAAAATCATTCATTGTTAAATTTTCACCGCGCTTGATTCGGAATAAAATGGATTGGTTGAACGAACTGGTACTGGATATGTTGTCGCAACGTCTACAGCTAAATGAGACCATCTAACATCGAATGGATCAGTTTCGTCCGTTTTTTTGGATTCTCTGTTATTCATACATTCATTCATCTGATCTAAAAACAATTACAAATAGATTATCAGTAATCAACAAAACACTTTTTGCTATAGCCAGTTATACATCACAAGAATTTAATTTGCCAAAAATATTTTCAGATTACAGAATTAGCTAAGTAGTGATTGATGATCGAGTGGAAATTCACGATTGCTCAACTTTAACTGTATAATGTATGGCATTGAGGGTTTCACGTTTCTATTTTAAAAAATTTTGTAATTGAAACGAATTTTTATAGATCAAGGCCAAAAAATATAATTATCAGATTCGGTTCAAGTCAGCTGTCTACGTGCAAATACTAATAAAACGATTGCTTTCTTATGTCGGTCTATGGAAATATTATATTAATGATAAATCATAATTCGAAGAAATAATAACTAAAATCTCCTGGGTGTGAAATTTAATTAAAAATTTTCAAACACTGACTATCTTGCTTCTGGCTTCTCTGAGAGTTTGATAGCAATGCGCTGAACACTGGCTGACCAAAAACATCAATCTCAGATTCTGCTGATATTGACGGTATGGTTGTAGTATTCTGTAAAATAATGTGAAAATTTCATGAACAAATCAAAACATAAGTTTGTTTCTCACTGACTAAACCATTACTTATTACTGAGATGAAGTTGAGGATGAAAGTTATTACATACTGGAATCATAATAGCCAGATTTAAGCTTAATCATGAACTTTACTTAGTTCCTCATCCACCCCATCAATCATCAACAAGTTTGATCACTTTTAAATTGTATCAAACTTGAGATGAATCACTGCAAGTCTGATTTCCACTAGCAGCCTTATTTATGTTATTTACATTAAGCAAAAATACTAAGTCACCAACAGAGCTATGCTATAAAGTTTAACTTTACCTTGTTCAAAGATGAAAAGTTTTCAGTTGCGGTAGACAGATCGTATTGCGAAAAGTCATTGCTGAAACGGATCGCTGTCTTTGAACCTGTCCCCTGGAAGATAGACGAACTTGGCAGCGGCGGAGGTGGATGATCTGGTGGAGGCCCACCTGAAATAAAAAATATCAGATTTGTAGATTAAGCAGAAAAAGTTAAATGCATTGCGCATTTTCAATAGCCCTTTATCCATCTGATTGACAGTAAAAACTCTCCAAAAATAAGTTTTACAGCACAAAAATCATTTCATTCCGTAAAATTTTGTAAAATTTGAATTTAAAGAAAGTTCAAGAATTTCCAGCAAAAGCTAGAATTCAACGAGTTAGGTGAAGCACATTTAAATATCTACACGCTTAATTACCAAAACTGTACAGCATAATAAGCACTGCAAGAAATCTATTAAGTAAAATAAAAATTAAGTTTAGTTTATTAATATATAAATTGAAATATTGAAAAGAGTAATGATTTATGAAAAAATATGAAAAAAAGTAATACCTTCATTTATCGTATCGCCTGTCCTGCTGAGATCACCAGTATTTCTGGGTGAATTTAGTGATAGTGATGAGCGCAATGTCTGTTCGAGCCATTCATCAGCTTTTGATTTTGCCGTTGATGGGGATGTTGAAATGGGACTACTTAACCTGCAAATGGATGATTAATTTCACTTCTCACCATACTTCATTGTTGCATATCTGTTTATCAGTTTAAATTAAGTTACTAAACTAAAACAAACTTCACGTCGTTCTGACGCTCTTATATGTTATTATTGTTGCTTAATTAAGAATAATCGATCTTAAATTTTCCTTCCGGTCTATTATTTCTATTAAAATTCATAAGAACCTAATAGATCAGATCAAAGTTAATATAGTAATTTGCGCTAATACCAGTCTACCTGACTGGATTATGTAAAGTCTAGGAACAACTAAATATTAGATAACATGATTTTTACTACGGTTTGGAATTCTATCCATAGCCGGACTATTTATCAGTTATAATAAAGGTATGGAACACAATTACCAGGATTCCGGTCCACTAACATTTGACGAATAATTGGTTTGAACTTGTAACGGAGAATTCATCAAATTATATGTTTCAGTACTAATAAAATCACAGGTACTAGCATATGGTGCAGCTGTATACGACAACGATTGCCTGAAAATGATTGAGAGAAAAAGCAAAGACAAAAATAACGAAAAAAGAGATCGATAAATCAAGAAAGAGAGAGAGTAAATCATTAACTTCAGTTAAAACAAATAACAATATTAAATTCACTAAAAATGAAACGATATTTTTCCTTACCTGAATCCATTATATTTCACTGGACAATATGGAGCACTCTCAAAGGTGCTTCCCTCATTCAGTGCACCATCATTAAGCCAACTTTTGTCTTCATCATCTTCAAAAATTGGCTCATCTTTCTCTATAACTGTTGCAGACATCTGCTGCAGCTGAAAATAACCAATATTTTGCACTAAGCAACTAAATTTCGAAAATCATATAATCGAAATTACCAAAAAAAAGCTTATCAAAAGAATAAATAACAAATGTTTCAGAAGTATTGTACAAACCCTCTTAATCGGAGAATCTGGATATGATCGAAGTGAAAGCTGCCGATGAAACAAGGCGGTGTCGGTGATATATGAAGCAGGTGCACGCAATGATCCCTTACAAACATGATATGAATATTCTTAATATGATATGAATATTCTCAATATTCTAAGACTTGTGAATAATAAAATCATAAGCATAATTATTAGCATTACGGCTATAAGTATAAATACTGCAAACTCTAAAAATGCAACTCTCTGTATTGCAAATTTAAACTAATCAAAAAAAAGTCAAGAAGATTCTACGAAAAGTCAAATCTCATTATCCAGAAAGATGAATCAATCTTAAATAAAGAAAAAAAGTAAATATGGAATAAAAAAAATTGTAAAATGAACGAGATAATCTAATCAACCTGTCTTGCAAAAAGTAGTGGATTTCCGATAGGCCGTGGTTTCGATGTAATGTGTAATGTGGATGACAAATTTGAAGTTGCAGGAGGTGGTTGTACGATCGCAGTTTGCGGGTCACGTAATCGCTCTGTTATTGATAATCGACGAAAAGGGCCATTACAGTTACTTCGTTCGAATGAACTAAAGATTGATGTATATAATTACGCTGTCAATACTAATTCTATTTACTAGCATTAAAATAGCTGTTCGGTGTAAATGTTTATTGGAATAGGATACAATTATTTGCCAGTAATGTCCTGTGTCCAAAATTTACTAAAATAAAATTATCCCAATAGCTAGGCTATCAGTGTATACGGACAACCTGACCTTGATGCATAAAGTTTATTTTAATATCAAAATACGACTAGTGCAAAATTATGGATAGTTGATTGAAGATTCCACATTTTGAAATCCCAAAATTCACTACTATAAAAGTTCCATAATTGATTTATCTTACGAATCAATCAAATGAAATAAGTTTTTAGAAAACAAAAAATTGACAATGAACAATCATTATTACTAATTTTTTCCGGTTTCATCAACGACGGAAAAATCTAACAACCAAATGTACCACTTTAGTGATACATTTGGCTATCATGGATGAAAATAAGACCTTATTCTATCAGAAACATTTTAATTTTCATCTAAATTCCTCTTAAAAAATAAACCTAATTGGAATCGGTGGTACTTGTTGGGCAATTTCATCTAAAGTAAAACCAGTGGCACTCGGCTTCTCACAACCAATAGGTGGTAAACCTGCAGCTGTTTGCACTGCTGCAGCAACTTCCGCATCACGCTTTTTCTTCCTTTCCAAACAAATTGCAAACGCACATCCCACAGCATGACTTAAGCGTTCACCCTTCAATAAAATGTAAATTTTCATTTATTAAGATTTAAATTTAAAAGCATGAACAGAGTGTTAAAATACGGGCACCAAATAAACATGTATTTTCTTCTAAATGGTTATTAACAATTAAATTTACCGATTCCTTCATCGCATAAAATCCATGGCACATCCATCGTCTCGATGTTCCATCTCGGCAAATATAAGCAAAACCTTTGTCATGACTTCGATCAGGTGCACAAAATGATACCTGAAATGCAAACTTAGTAAAATATAGCTCTTGCATAATCTTTTTTGTTCTTTTTTTCTTAATGAGAAAAAAATAAATACAATACAGTTCATTAGTATCGTTCAAGCAGTCAGAATGAATGAAAAAAAAGTGCAGCTAACAGCGAAAAATGAAAGTAAATGAGATGCTAAATTAGCATCAAATAGACAATAGGAGCAATGTAGAGAGGTGAATGGAAATAAATCAAGATTTAAGGAGATCGGAAGATAAAAGGACAAGATTCATAAGACTAAAAAAAAGAAATAAATGACGGAAGATAGGCCATTGTAATATTAGGTCAAATTATTTATTTATACGAACGAATGAAACGAATGAAATTATTTATACGAATGAAACCTTTTCAATAGTTTGGTCGACTATTAAACCACGACTACTCTCCTGATCCACAACACGTAAACCATCACCGGAAACATATAAAACTGCTTTAATTGGTCGTCTTCGTTGTCCCTGGGGAATTTTTTTTTTAAATCTTTGAATCGATTAACCTTAACTGTCTTTTTTTTTTTAAAAAAAAAGTACAACGCAATGTTTTCATTTCGCATGTAAGAGGACAGAGATTACAATTGAACTTAGATAACAAACTACTAAGTAGTTCGAGATGATGCGTTGGTTCCTCTATATCAAACGGCTACAAACTCAGATTTCTTTGGGGTATGTTGTTAATCTGTCTTAGTTGAACTGCATAGCGAAAAATTTCATAAAACCAGTAAAAGGGAAAAATTTCATAACACCAGTAGTAGGGAAAAATTTTACAATACCAGTAAAAAATTTCATAAACCAATAACTAACAGTAAAAGCTATCGTTTAAGTAAGCTTAAAAACATACCCTTAATAATTTCAAAGCTCCCTCACAAATTTGCATACCACGCGACTCAAATACTTCGATACCGCCAAGATACTTAAATGATTTATAAATTTAAGCATTATTCAAGTAATAGCCACAGTGGGGAATTAAAATGAACTTAAAGATTTAAAAGTATATCATAAAAAACTGAAAACCATGTCAAGGATATTTAAACTTTAGATCTTTTAAACAATACAACGATCTAACTTATTATATTTGAATTCAACAATTCAAAGATTTCCAACCTTAACATTGAAATTGCAGGTGCCATTTCGAACAGCAATTTCATCCGGTTGCCATAATTCCGCTTTACTAGAACTTGAGTTGTTTGCTAGTCTATTCGGTGAAGATTGTCCGGGTGGAGTTCTACGACTGAAATGTTGCCTGGACATACGACGACGAAATGATTCTCGGAATGAGCGTCGTATTCGATCCATTCCACGGTGTACAACGTTTCTAAAATCACTTAAATAATCAAATAGTTACTGATATAGAAACTTCATGATTAAAATAGCATACTTATACGAGCTGAAACAATATTGAAACTTTTTGTTTAATTAAAGAAAAATATCAGTGTAACATAACTTTTCTTCATTCGACATTTTAATTAATGGAGGAAGCGGATGAAAAGTAAAAATGTTTGTCCATTATTTACTAATGACCATAATATATTTCCGCAATTATTACATGTGCGTATGACGTACTTATTCTAATTTAAAGTGAAACCTATAATGGAGGAATAGCAGGTTTTGCAATTTTAGAATTGTAGAAGAGAAAAAGTTAATGAAAACTAAGTTTTGTTTAATCAGTTCAAAGAACCATCACTAGAAAAAGAAATTTTACTATCCCATAATTCTTCTTTATTCAATCGAATGTACCAGTAGTAATATAAGCCAAACCAGGGAAAAACGAAAAACTTACAGCAATCTTATTAATCAAAAATGAATTTAATCAACTACTAAAAGTGTCATCAAAGGTATCACTGGACAGAAAGGCATTAACTCATTCTATTTTATTCAATCAAAAGCACTTCAGATAATTTTAAATAATTCATCGGTAACACCAATGAAGTTATCATCCAAAGTTCATGGGTCATGAAATTCATCCCAGCTAAAGATCATAAACTTCCAAAACTTTGTTTTATCTTTTTTTTCATAATTTTTCATAACCGATAACTTATTTTGCAGAAATATTGGAGAGGCTTAGAAGGAGTAAAGAAAGGAATTAAAGTGAAAAAATAAATCCTATCTTAAACATAGCATTAGGAAAATCTCCAAACCATATTCTGCTATGGATGTAAGAAAAAAATTTTTTGAAACTTTCAAGAAACGAAACTTACCACCAAGAAAAACTTTGTGCTATTTTGCCATATACTTGAGAAAGAAGAGAGAAAATAAAATTGAGCAAACAATTATAAAAAGTTAAAAAAAAGTGAATGGAATAGCAAAAAAAAAGATGAAGTCTTAATAAGCTATTTGCTAATAAACATTTTTTTTTCTTAATAAAAATTGGATAGCAATACTAATTTATATATGAAATGGGCAAATGAAGAGAATTAAATTGAAGATAAATGAGAAAAGACTAAACTGACTGAAGTAGGATAAAATTAATTTAAACTGTAAATTTGCCAATGCTAAAGTAAACAAACTTTTATCAATAGGGTTGTCATGGAGTAAAGAGCGATAATATCATACATCTCATAGATGTATATATCTGTTTATAGGATTATGAAATCAGTTCTATGCACTAAGATAGAAGATTGAAACATAAAAGGAGTAGCATCGGCTTATTTTGTTCCAGCTAGAATTAGAGAAAAGATATATAAAATTTTCAGTCCTTCTTCTTTTCCTTCTTTTTTTCGCTTAGAAGTCTTCATAAATCGTATTTTATCTTTTCGATTTCGTTATTTATTTATTTACTCAGTGTTCGATTCCTCATTTATCATTTTAGTTCGATAGCTTTACATCCAATCATCTAAATACTAACCAACCATTTATTCCAATAAAAATTGCTCAATAATTTCTCAGTTTACAATTGTTGCAAATCACTCAGGTTATGTGATGTAAATAACTATTCAAGAATTATCGAAGTTGCAAGTCGTGACAATATAACAAAGATATTGCTCGAAAAGAAGCTTATTTTCAATCATATTAAGAATGAATGTTGAACGTGTAATCAACCAGAACGAGCAATAATTCTTTTAAATTATTCAAATTTCTAACTTGAAACAGGTTAATCAAATGTAGCAAATAAAAGCAGAAAATAAGAAAAGGATAAGATTGAAAATTCGTCGTCGTCGGATAAAACCTAATTTTAAATTGGAAATAAAAAATATACTAATCCTAACAATAAAAAAAATTTTAAATGTTAAACAAGATGGTATGCTTAAGAAACATTTATTGCTAATAATACATCATTTTCTTCGCAACGAATTACATCTATCGGCGGTCAAAAAAAATGCTTCAAAAAAACGCTTTCAGAAAAAAAATGCTTCAGAAAGAATGCTTCAGAATCATATTTATTCCATTTTTTGTCCTTTCTCTCAATTAACGTCATTTTTTCATTCACTTGTACAAATGCGTACGCTATTTTCTTGAAAATATTAGGACTTGAAAATCTTAAAAATTATCTTAAAGTAATACTAATTATTACTGCTCATTATTCAAATTAAAACAAGAAAATTGAAAATGGAATAATACTTCGTCTACTGCATTTTTAAAAACAGTTTATTATTAAAATAACCGTCTGTTAGTATAATGTCACCTATCAACATTTACAAATAAATCAGTAAACGATTAAATGCCTGATTATGTCATGCATCTCAAAAAAAAAATTAAATCAACAAATCAACCTGTTTGCATAAAGATAGCTAAGCGAAAACAATGGTACGATTTTACTTCATCCAAAAAGATGAAAAAAGATCAGGAAGTATTCACTTTTTTTTTACTTTCATAGAAATTAATACTTCACGATTGACTAAGCATATATAAATACTAACTTTATTTCTCAATTTTTTACAATATAATTCAAACATTTCAGAACTAAAACATCATCCCAAGATCTTTAAATCAAAATAAATTAGTATTAAAAACCGAGAAATTAAACTTACTCGATTATAAGATGTTTTCTTCTTACATGACAAGAAAATATGAAATAAAAAAAGACAAATTGAACAATTATCTGCGGCATACATAAAAGTGTCAACCGCAACTAACATTTTTCGATATCAGCGAAAAAAAAAGAAAGTCCCGAGAGGAAGGTTTTTTTTATACTTTGATATATTGCAGAAATAACGAGATTAGCAGTTTGAAAGTATTTTATTTCACCTAATTTTTGATTCGTTAGTGCTAACTTTATATATATAAGTTTCATGGTACAATTGAGCAATACGAAACATTCTGAAAAATCCATTAGTAATATCAATTCAAGTGCAAGAGAATTTTTTGGAAAAATACGAAATCGTAGAAAAAACTTTAGGATAAATGTGAAATGTTGTGTAAAATGTAAACAAGTCAGACTGATTGAATCCCTACCACTTTTAGCCTATAGGACACATTGTTTAGGCTCATTCATTCTCTGTCCCATCTCAGAACCAATCACAAATAACAATTAGTTCTGTCTTTCAAATATACAAGTGATATGTATATAAGTTTTATGGTACAGTTGAGCAATACGAAACTTTCTGAAAAACCTATTAGTGATTTCAATTCAAGTGTAACATCAGTTGCATGCTAAAATTATAGCAGTATAAAAGATTTAGTTCTAATAAAAAAGCAAATTTTAAAAGATTAAAGATATTTTGCAGCAAATTATTTGCTTCTATCATCAAATGACTAAACAAACTTTTACATTTAATCATCATTATCAATTGTTGAAAAAAACGAGATGAAGTATTCTTTTTCTCCCAATAAAATGTCTGATTAATAATCTTATAAATTTTCATCCCCTTTATTTAACTACTGAAAAGAACTTTGGAGGTTATATGCTATCTCTCTCATTTATATGTCTTTTTTTTTGAGCTGATTCGATGCAAAATCGTAGTGCTATTAGAAGAGCGATTATATAGTCCGTGAAAAGTTAAATTCTTCCTTAAAAATTTTCCTTCCCTCGTGTTCGAATTCTAATCTTCGAAATTACTGCAATCTTCCTGGTGCTTTATCAGGATGGATAGTTATGCTTTCATGAATAATGAGATTGCAGATACTATCATTAATGTTATTTGTTAAATTCGATCAGAACGGAAAGCATTCTAACATTGCAAACTGTGGTCAAATAATTAAGATTGCAATTCGACTAAGCGAATGAAATTTATAATCAAAAGAGTCAAAGGTGGGATAATTAAACTATTTAAAAGAACTGGGATTAAATTTGTATAAAAGGATTAATCAATAAAGCTTGCCAAAAAGCTCCATATATATTACTTTGGCATGCAATCAAATTTTTCATAACTAAAATATGACGACATTTTTGTGATTTGCCACATGCTGAAGATTCAACAATCTGATATCAGTAGGAAACAAAGACTGATAAAGAGAAAATTGCAATATTTAAAAATAAATACAAATATTTGAATGAACTCCTTATCAAAGAATAATGCCTTAGGGAATTTAAATTCATCCCTCCTATCACTCCAATAGTCAAAGAACTGAAATATAAGGAATGGTTTTGGTCTGTTGGGAACAAATTAAATTTCGAATCGAATCAATCGAAATTCAAATAACATTATTTATGTACAGTATTATTCATATTCTTATATCAAATCTAAAAAAGATAAAAAAAACAGCCATTACCATCATCAAACAATATATCTAACAGCATTAAACATTTAAAAAAAATTTTTTTTCACTTTCCATATTATTTTACTTCAATTTCTAAAGTATTATTAATGTAATTGAAACTACCGTACTGTTAATTTTATGATTAATTTTCATCTCTCGTTACATTGTCTTATCTCTCACAATTTTCACATTATATGTTTAATTAAAACACTACGTTTCATACTAATAATTCCATTTATTCTAAATTCCAGTACATTTATTTTCTTATGCATTATAAATAGCACTACACCTCTACAACTATTTTTCAAAAGCACTTCTAAAAATTTCTAATCCACAAAAACAGAAAGCATCATTTAAGAAAACTATTTCCGAGTATATATGCAGGAAGATCAATTTTCTGACACTGCGCCCATTTTAATAAAGTATTTAAAACAAAAACTGGATATAATAAACAATACTTATCATCTCAAAAATTCTTTCGATTTCTTTTTTCCTTTTCAAAAATTCTTTTTCATGACAAAAAAGATCAAAAAAATGAAGGCTGAGTTTAATTATAATAATTAACAAATTAAAAGCAGGTAAAAGATAAGAAAAGATTTTTAAAAAATTGAATAAAATGTCGAGAAAAAGAGAAAAGATCAACAGATGATATATGCAGTAAAAGATCTAGAAAGATTTAAAATACCAATGAAACCAGCTTAAATCTATTCATATTCAAGTGAAATATTTTTCGTATTCATGAAACAAAAGAAATGTCACTAAAAAGAATGCCGAAATTTCATTTATTTTACATTATCTTTCGGCAACCAAACTAATAGTATTTCGCATAACGACACTGACATATAACCTACCTATTACATGCAATTCAGACAACAGTAAAGGGACCGATGGGCAGAAAAACTAAACACTTCCTCCCTTCCATCACCTTGATCGAACCTGTTTTCAACTACAACAACCTTTCACCCTCTTCCAAATATATTTTTTCCTTTTTTTTTTTAAAAATATAAATATGTGTGGCAATAAGTATGCAAAAAACACTAAACCCATATGCGACAAATTTTTTTAAACTATCGAGGCAATGCTAAAAGAATATAACTTTCATCTTGTCAAATGTAACTTTGAAATTAAAAAGCAGCAGAAGCAGCATTTTCGTGACTGAGTAAAAGGGAGATGAATTAAATATACTAAAGTTTAGAGAGAGCATAAGTATAGAACCTCTAAATTTTCATGCAATTTTTCTGCAAAAAAAAAAAAAAAATATAGGAAAGAGGTGAAAAGTTGAGACATTTACATCTTTTTATTCTTATATGAGCATATTGCTTTTGGAAGGATACAATAAATTAAATCAGCAAGAAAAAGTACTTAAGCCACACTACTTTATCCTGTTAACTTATCTATTACTTTTCCATCCTTTATTATAGTTCGTGTATGATAATTCACCTATATTCATTCGCCCAGATCTTTTCATGCCACTTAAAATTATATTTTCCACAAAAATACCGCAAAATTTAGTACTAGTAAAAATAATAAATAAAACAAAACCCTTTAGATGGTAACACATCCTCAGTTCCACATGATACTTCTATGGATTGTTGTTGTTGTTGTTGTTGTTGTTGTTGTTGTTGTTGTTGTTGTTGCTGTGGCATATTGCTATAATCGCTAACGGCTTCATCACTATTCGAACGACTATTCGAATGACTATTCGTTAAGCTTTCATTTTTTCGCTTCCTGTTCCGTTCTGTTAAACGCCACAAATTTCGATAAAAAGCCAAAGATGACGGCGTTGACGGCATTGGTGACATTTTTACTCTTCACCAGAAAACAAAAACAGGATAATACCCGGCCATGTATTCACATCTGTAAATGACATAGATAATTCTAAATATGGACATGAGGAAGTGATTTTTTCCTTGTAAAATAAATTTTCGAACAAAATTTAATCTATTTACAAAAATGATAACGGATAGATAAATCATTCAAGAAATCAATCAAAAATTGTGCACATTTAGGAATATTCGTCTGCAATAGCTTGACATGAAAAACAATTTTTCAATTTTTAGTAAACGGAACGGAAATAAGTCGAACTTATATACAAATCTAAAAAAAAAATACGTGAACTCAAACTTTTATCACTAACTTTCAGAATTAACTTCTTTTTTCAGAGAATGATAACGAATTCACAAGTACTTCGTGAAATGATACTAACCTTCAGAGAAAATTAAAAAATATAAAAAGTCAAAAAAAAAATCAATAAGAATGAATCGATCATATAATCTATCATATATAATAACATTTCCTGCATGTTAAAATTGTACGGTGAAAGTGAAATATGGAAGAAATACAGTTTTTATAGGAGAAAGAACTAGAAAACAGAAATGAAATCACAAGACTGATAAAACTTCCGAAAAAGCTATGGGAGCAACACAATTACTGAGTGATAAGGTTTTTTTTTTTTGGGAAAAGAGTAAAGGTGAAACTTTAGGGAAGAGTTATTAAAAAGAAAAGGAATGGAGGTGAAATACTAACAAAAGTGATTTTAATCACTGAAAAAACAAGAATGACGAAAATGTTGCAACAATCAATATCGACTGGAATGAGAAACATTTGAAGAGAAAAAATTTCACTTTTAAGTAAAAAAAAGTTTTAAACAATTACTTACCATGGGAAGTATAAGCAAACATTAGGTGATATATGATTGTCAACAGTGCGAAAAGACACGAACAGACACATACACATACGCATACACCTATCGATCGGTGCTTTTTTTTTGTTGATAAATCAATAAATTGAAACAGTGCGAACAGTTTTGATGGATGAATGAATGAATGAATGAATGAACACGAATATTATAACCAATTATCGTCAAGACAAATCGTTAGCTCGAATTACAGCTGAAATAAAATTGAATATTAGCAAAATTTTATTTAGTGCAATTAATTCAAACTAATTATCAATTCCATTTATTTTTGTTGTTACAGTTTTTTTTTCAATTTCATTTTTCTTCTCCTCTTTTCATTAATAAGAATAATAATGAGAAAGACAAACAACAAACAAATAAGGAAATGAAACAGCGACACAGCAACAAAAACAACAACAACAATAAATAACAACAACAACAACAACAATAGCAATAACAACAACAACAACAACAACAGCAACAGCAACAACAACAAAAAAAAAACAAGAATAACAATAACAGTAAACATTTGTAACAGTTCTGATCAAATAATATCATTTAGTATGAAAACCTCTATTTTTCAAATTCAAAAAATTGTTGTATACATGAAAAAAGCAAAAAAAAGAATTAATAACGTATGATTACGAAATCTTTATTATATTATTACGAAATAATTCTATGATATTACTTCTTCCTTTCTCCATTATTTTTCTGCTGTAAAAGGTTAGGCTTCAAGTACGGCGTAACGTACGTGTAAGTCTTACCTTAATATCGGTGAACACATAGTGAGGTGGAGAAATCGAACTTCACAAGACGCTAATAATGAAAGGCGCATTCGGCACGTCGTATACATTTCCTCTTCCTCTCTCACCTTTCCCCTCTCATCTTTTTTTCTCTTTTCTCTTTTTACAATGATTTGCTTTGCTTTGTTTATCCTCAAAACATTCACTATTTTTCAAATTATTCTCTCATAACGGAATGATAGCGAAATAGGAGAAAAGAAGGAAACAAAAAAATACGTGAGTAAAAACATACGCGAATAGAAAACGAAAGAACGGGAGAAATAGTAATTAATAGATTATTTAATACTCTGAATAGTATGATAATATCGGAAGGAAACATACATTTGAAGTATTTTTAGAGAGCAATAAAATTTTACGATTTACAATTCATAACATGCAAACCGCAGATATTCATTATTTTGGTACCATAAAAAAGGAGACAAATAATTTGGTCGATGATGGAATTTATTGGAATAAAGCTTAAAAGTGCAAGATTTAAAATAATTGATGTGGAAATGCAATGAGGTGAAACGAATTTTTTGCACATAATAAGCAACAAAAAAGAAAAAATCAATTACTGAACAAATTTTGAAATACAAATACAGATTTATAACAGGGAATGCAGATGAAGGATAAATATGATCGTAAAATTTAAAAACTGAAATTTGAAAAATTTTTACTATCATCTATTATTGCTGCATCTAAAAAGCTGCCAAAAGCCAGAAATTGTTATCATAATAACGGCAATAATATTATCTGAAATACATTGTGTTATCCGATATAAAACGGATATAAAAAGGCATTTTCGATTTTTCCGGAAGCAAAATTTGTAAAAAATTGAAATAAATATTCCCAAAAATAATGAATAACATTAAGAGCATTTCATTGAATTTGAAATTTTTTATTAATAGTTAATGAATTTTTTATTTTGAGGAGTAGGGAAATAGGAGAAATTTGTGTTTCATTAGACAATATTCCTTATTAACAGTAATAAAAGTAAATGTAGTTGTTAAATTAATTTGAAGTGAAATAAATATATCAAATATGCCTTCATTTTTTTCAAATGAAATTTATGAATTAAATTTATCTCATTTTTTGAGTAATGCACCACAACACTTCCATAATTTATTCGGGTAGAAAAATTTTTAAAAAACAACCGTGAGGAATTTATATGGAATTTTCAAAGATACAATAAAAAAGATTGCAAAACCTTATTGCACATATTAAATGAGAATTTTTTACACTAAAAAAAAGATTTTACATTTTTACATGTTATTTCTACACTAATTAATCGTTACAATTTTTAAAAAATCCTAAAATTTACAAATATTTCTAAGTTGAAAAATATACAAAATTCCTACACTGGGAATTTTGCATTTTTCATCAAATCAATTAAATTCACAAATCAATCGTATTCATTAATTTGTCAAGAAAGAAAACTCGCCAAGCCTATAATTTGTTAAATTTTTTAAAATTGCTAAAGTTTTAAACTTTCATTCATGTTTTTTCTCTTTATTTACACCATTTCATGTCTTTTTTTTGGGATTACTTTTAATTTATAAATTTTTTTTTCATTCAACTGCCATCCAATATGAATGTCGAATGGATAAAATGAAAATATTAAAAGAACAGGAAAAATAAAAAGAGAGAAAAAAACACAACAACAACGAAAATATCTTGTCAATCAAAATTTGTTCGAGAAAGAAATAATGAAATGGAAAAGAAAAAAATGCATTGTTAAAAACAAAAAACAACATCAAAAATTAACGAGTCGTCAGAATTTTTTTATAAATTTTACAACAAAAATATTTTTTTTTTAACAACAAAAAACAAAAAGAATTTTTTCTTCGCATTATTTCGTTCGTTTATTGCTGAATTCTGATAAAAAATTTTCAAAAACTTACAGTTATTAACCAAAAAAGAAAAAGGAAAAAGACAGATCAATATCATAGTCTAACAATATCAACTATTTTAAAGTATGATCCAATCATATCGACCGATCATTTCAGATTATTATAATCCACATTGACATTGCTTCACATATATTACAATACTGATAACAATCATCGATGTGAATTGAACTGGAAAAATAAAATCACATTTGGGAGAGATTCCAAATGATTAAATAAATTTCAACAAATCAACTATATTAACATTTTTAAGAATTCATATTTCCTTATTACTAAAGGGTACTTTGTGAAGAGCAAATAAATTGGCATAATTAGGACAAGCTAACGTTTTTCATTTTTTAAATAAAGTTCACAACAATATCGCCAAAATGATATTAAAAAAAAATTTTACTTGGTAAACTCCAATATTTCTTTTTATTAGCTAAAAACTTGAGTGCTTCAGTTGTGTAACACCAAAATATTTTATATCTGATATATATCTATCATATATTTTATATCTGATATATCTATTATCTGTGTTATCGAATATAGCGAACAGTAAATATTTGAATATTGTGATTCAATTATGAAAATGTGAGGATGAATTAAATGATTTTACAGCATTTTTGCCATTCTGCAAACAAAAATTTCTAAAAATCGAAAGAATTCAATCGTTAAAATATGAAAATGAAATTGCAACGCAAATGATAACGCATTGTTAAAATGGCAGTTATTTAAATGAAAAGAATCGCATGCTACTGACTGATTTGAGGCACAAAAAAAAAAAAGAAAAAAGGAACAAATAAAATTATTGATATTTCCAAATTGCATGCAAAAATTCAAACATTGAAATGAAATGAAATTTGAAAAATTAAAAGCTGATAAATTAGCAAGTTTTTAAAAGTCAACCAAATAATTAAATAATTATGGATATGACATTTAACAGCAAAATTTTACTTATGATCAACAGCATACATTGATTGACATTAAATGAAATTTCTTCCATTTTATCTCCGTTTGTAAATGCAATTAAATCGGAAATTACATCAGTTAGAGGCGTATTTTCCAGAAATGCTAACTTCAAAATGAAAGCATTGCTTAATTGAACATTTCCTTCCGTCCGATCAATCTCATTTTCTTATCTCAATTCATACATAAGCGCTAATATCTCACTCAGATGACACCTCCGCCTAATGTAACTGATCGTATTTGATGTCCTTCAAATTCCTTTCCATCCCATCGCATTATTATGCATGGCTCATTTTCCCCCCGATCATATAAATAATGATGAGAACTGATGAAAAGAGAAAGGTTATCACACTCATTTTTCGGAATTATAATTGTTTTCAAGGGGACATTCGAATAAACGAAAAAAAAGGCCTCGATCTCGTTGATTTCAATTTTTTCATTCGATAAGAGAGTTAAATTAGATGAATGATTGCATCGAGTGGAAA